CTATATTACAAAGTAATAAATATTACTATATTATTTAATATAATAATATTACTATATACATATATTATGTGATTACAGAAAAATGTAATTAAATACCTAATTTTTTAATCGATTGAAAGCACTAATATTACAAAATAAAAAATAAAATTTAATACTATAATGTTTCACTGTAAAATGAAAAAATCAGTATTTGAGCAAAATATCATTAATTTATATTTACATTGCAACAACAAAACGACAGTACTATTATTTAAGGCTTTAAGTCTTCGTTTTCATTTTTTTTTAAACAATCAAACTTTTATTCTACATTTACTTTACATTAACATTTAGTCATTTAGCAGATGCTTTTATCCAAAGAGACTTACAAATGAGGACAACAGAAGCAATCAAAACTATTAATTATATAATAAATAAAAAGAAAACCGATAGAATAGAAAAAGAATAGAGCAAGCTAGTGTTCGAGGTCTTTTTTGCTCTTCTGACAGAAAACCGCAGGAGCTGTAGTACAGAGCAAGTCAAAAGAAGATCTGAAGCTGAAAGAGTTTCTTTCACGTGACGCTTAACATGCAACTTCCTCCAAACGCAGTCATTAGACAGATGGAGCTGCCCTCAGGGGTCACACAGGGGTCAAACCTCAATGATCTCACTGTTCCTGCACTCCTGACATCATCACACACACACACACACACACACACACACACACACACACACACACACACACACACACACTCACACTCACACTCACTCACACACACACTCACACTCACACACACATCAGACTGAAGCCTCTGCAAACACACACCTCACAGAAAACAGGAGATGTTTGTCTTGACGCTATTTTACTTACAGCAAGACCCCTGAGATTTGAAGTTTTGTATTTCAGTAATTCAGTGACACATTAGCATGTTCCTGGTCACGTGACATGCAGGTAAATAAATAACATTTTTAATGTTTTATTTTGACTTTGAAGCTGGACTTTAAAGTGGATGCACACAAATGATAGTCTGAGTCCAGATTACATTCACACATATAGGAACTCAGTTCATTTGAATTAATTGATCATTAATAATCAATTATTGTTATTATTTTTTGTATGCTTTTATTATATTATTTTATTAAATGTTTATATAATATACTATTTTACAAAATATTTGTATTTTATAATTTTTTATAACATGCATAACATTTTATACAACAATAATAATTACTTATTTTTATTAAATTTTCTAGTATTCTAAAATATAATATTTAACAATAATATTATATGATTTTTTTTTACATATAATATCATAATTTCATATAATAATAAAAATAATTATTATTACCATTATATTTTATATTTTCTTTAAAACAATATTTACATAATATATCATATTTTTATATAATAATATTAATAACCATTATTATTATTATTACTATCATTATTTAACTCTAAGTATACAACTGAAGAGAGAAATATTACTGTTGTAAATGACAATGGTACAATAAAATAAAAAGTTAATATTTAATAATTATAATAATTTTATTTTACATTACAGGTTATGGTCTTAAATTCTTCACTTTTAACATTTCAAATCCTTGAGCTTTTATATTGGCGGAAAATTGTAAAATTATGAAATCATACAATTGTGCAAATAAAAGTAAACTTAGTGAGTGCTGTGTTCCCAAATGCATGTTATAAAACGGATAGTTCCGGTCCTTGATTCTGATTGGCTGAGCCACGTTCGAAGCTGTTGTATATTAAAGCAATAAGCCCCAAGAAGCCGTGGTTTACAGTGATTTTATAACAGCTAAGGAGCGTTGTTAGGTACGACACAGCTTCACGGGGCTTATTGCTTTTATAAAACGGTTATTCCATATACGTAGTAAGGTTTCACAAAATAAAACAGAGAAAACAAAGTGGTTGCCGAGCAACAGACAAACGTAAACAAAGCTGTATGTTACTTTGTAGAGTCATTTACAACAGCTTCGAACGTGGCTCAGCCAATCAGAATCAAGCACCGGAACTATCCGTTTTATAATATATATGAATAAAGTGAGGTGTTTTTACCTGACCAGCTCCTCGTTGTACAGGGATTTGGGCGACTCTCGGCCGAGGATATACACCTGACCCTTAAAGACAGACAGCTGCACACAACCCTCCACGCTCTCCTGAGATTTATCAATGCAGTGACGGACGAACTCACACTCAGGACTGTACCAGAACCCTGAGAGAGAGAGAGAGAGAGAGAGACAGAGAGACAGAGAGACAGAGAGAGAGAGAGAGAGAGAGAGAGAGAGAGAACCACAGCACTTCATCAACACTAACCTAGCAAACGTCAAATATCAGAGGTTTTCTTGTGAACCAGCGCTCCTCAAACTTTCTGACTCCAGGAACCTCAGGACAATATTCAAAGGCCCTCCCAAATATTTCTGGTTCTTCAAAAGTAATGACAAAACTGCTCATTTTTAATTTACAGAAACTAGGAACGGCAATATATTCAAATAATTTTAAACAATTAAGTTCTGTACTTTCAGAAGTTCAGTAAGCGAATAATTCATCAGGGGTCACACACTTTAGGACCAACGAATTTGCATGACATGTCTAGTCATTTGTGATTGTTTATTATTATTATTATTTACTTACAAATTAAAGCAATAAGCCCCAAGAAGCCGTGGATTACAGTGATTTTATAACAGCTAAGGGGCGTTGTTCGCGGAGTGCCTAAAACCCCCTTAGCTGTTATAAATTCACTGTAAACCACAGCTTCACGGGGCTTATTGCTTTTATAAAACGGTTATTCCATATACGTAGTAAGGTTTCACAAAATAAAACAGAGCAAATAAAGTGTAATGATATTAATAAAAACAGTATTCTTCCACCAAACAATGTAGCTCCTCAGAAACAGTTGTGGTTGCAACAAAGTGGTTGCCGAGCAACACACAGAAGTAAACAAAGATGTATGTTACTTTGTAGAGTAATTTACAACAGCTTTGAACTCGGCTCAGCCAATCAGAATCAAGGACCGGAACTATCAGTTTTATAAAGCTATTTTAGCCATTTCTACCTGAAAATATATTTTAAAGCTTAACATAACTAGAAAGTGTGAGCAGGGAGTGTGTGGAGTTACAGACAGACAGACGAACGGACAAACATGCTCTTTTCTGAACTGCAAATGTGAGTTGGTTTATGATCGCAGCTCGACCCTGATCTGTACCGTTATAGATGAGCTCGGAGAACTTGATGCCGAGACTCTGCTTGATCTTCCGAACCTCTCGGTCCATCGTGAAGGTCTCGATGTCCAGATGAGCGTGAAGCAGGATGGTTCCTCCAGGGGTTTCGTAGATACCTGATGGGTAAAGAAAATGAAAAAATCAACAGTTCAGCCCTGACTAAAAAAAAAAGGTTAGATTTTACCATCACAAAACTGATTAACACGAGAAGAGTAGACAATGTCTAGTAAAAATAAGAACAGCGTTAAAAGAGTTTTCTGTGCTGATTTCAATGGGAACAATCCCATTCATTCCGAATGATGGTTGTCATGACGACGGGTGTTGACGGGCACATTGACAGCTGCCACATGAATGATAATAGAAGACATCTCTTAAATCCTGAAAAGTGGCAATCTGATACATTAAGACTCTGCGGGATTTAGCGCAGGAGACTGAGCTTCCGTCAGGAAAATCTGATAAAAGTCTCTGCAGGTATTAAGATCCCGAGAGATGAAGGACTGATTTACATGCATCTTTACTCAGATGAGACGTGGATGATGAGGTTAAATGGCTGGTGGCTTATCATTCCAGACACCAGTGGTGTTAATACTGCTTTAACACTTCAAAGACTGTCCTCTGAACACACACACACACAGACACACTTAGATTTTACCATCACAAAACTGATTAACACGAGAAGAGTAGACAATGTCTAGTAAAAATAAGAACAGCGTTAAAAGAGTTTTCTGTGCTGATTTCAATGGGAACAATCCCATTTTCCGAATGATGGTTGTCATGACGACGGGTGTTGACGGGCACATTGACAGCTGCCACATGAATGATAATAGAAGAGGAAAGCATCAGGATCCGCTGCTCAGCTTCACTCTACCCTGTGATTTACAGCGTCTGCGTCTGTCACACAGAAATGAAGCTTCGCTCGGCTGTCTGAAGGGTCACAGGTGATGATGAACGGACACCTGAAGGTCCAGCGGCCGCTTATTCTTCAGAGCTCAGAGCTGACAGACGGGAATGAAGTCTTTACACAAACACACACGATTATGATTGACTGTCCATTCTATAGGCCAGAAAATGACCAGCATACACACCATTTAGATTAAAAACCAGGATATGCTTTTCAATGGACAAATCAACCAAAATGTGATTCTTAAATTATTATCAATGTGTTTGATGTACTATGGCATAACATATCACTAAATATCAATAATAAAAAAATATATAATATATATAAATAAATAAATCAGCAATATATATATATATGTGAGTGTGTGTGTGTGTGTGTGAGAGTGTGAGTGTGTGTGCGTGCGTGTGTGTGAGAGTGTGTGTGTGTGTGTGTGTATATACAGTATATAGTACATATATAAATCAGGGTTATTATAGCTCACTAAAACGTTTTTTTAAATAAAATAAATGTTAACTAATATTAAATAAAATATGAAAAAACTTATTTCAGCAACATTTGTAATTTTAATTTAGTTTAGCTTGACATACTAAAATAACTAAAGCTGAAATACAATTAATAAAAGCTAAATAGGCATATATTTAAAAAAAAAGTAAGACTACTAAAAATAACAAAAGCACAAAATTACTAGAACTTTAACTAAAATTAAAATGAAAATGGAAAATATAAAGCAAAAACAGTATTGTAAATATTAATAAAAACTATATATATTTTTTACAAACGATAAAAAATAGAAAATAGATTTATTTATAATAACATATATGTGATTTCCGATGACTTAAAATCAGACACACTGCAGTTAAAGTTTGTCACACAGAAACAATGAATAAGACGCCAAAAGGATGAGACTAAAGATTTCTTCCATTAAAGGTACAATTCCTTCATTAAACAAAAGCTTTTTGGCTTCTAAGAGTCTTTGGTGTAAAACAATCTCCGTCCCTGGAGGCAGAAGCTCGGCTCAGACCAAACCTCTGCTGCCCAAAACAAGACTTAGCAAATTACCCACATCTCTTAAATCCTGAAAAGTGGCAATCTGATACATTAAGACTCTGCGGGATTTAGCGCAGGAGACTTACACACACACTCTCACACACACACACACACTATTTCACTACATGATGTTTCTTCAAAACTTCATTTCTAACTATTAGCACATTTTTATCAAAACAAAGAAATGAAAGCTAAATATCCTAACTTTATAAAATGTCAACACTTTTATTATGGTCTTCTATAATTACGGAAGTGTATCTTTATAGCCTTTAATTTCTAATAAAAACATACTGACCATGTCATGACCTACAGTATTACAGTTTTATAAATATTTAGAATTTTTATTTTTACTTTTCATTTAAATTTTTAATAGTTAAAATCATGATGTAATCATATGTTAATGAAGGACCAGTGTTGTTTTAGTAATATTTATAAATTCTATTATGGTTTTTATTTAATGTTTGAATTAGCGTTTATTTTTATGTTTTTACATTTCGTTTTCATTTTAGTTTTCTTTTTTGTGATTTGTGCTTTTGTCATTTTTATTAATTAGGGTTCATCTATTTTAGGATTAAAATTATACAGTGTACAGTACACTATCACTCAGATTTTTTAATGTTCTTGAACATTGAGTCTCTTCTTGGCCAAAAAAAATTGTGAAATATCATTAGAATGTAAAACAGCTGTTTTCTATGTGAATATCTGTTAAACTGTAATTTATTCCTGTGATGCGCAGCTGAATTTTCAGCAGTCTTCAGTGTCATATGATCTTCAGAAATCATTCTAATATGCTGATTTGCTGCTCAACAAACATTTCTGATTATTAGCAATGTTGAACACAGTTGATATTTTTGTGGAAACTGTGATACATTTGATTTTTCAGGATTCACAGATGAATAGAAAGTTCAAAAGAACAGCATTATCTTTTGACACATTATAAATGTGTTTTACTGGCACTTTTGATAAATTTATGCATCCTTGATGAATGATTTCTGTCGATACTGCAGAGTTGTGATCATATTTGGAGAAGCTCTAAAAGCATGATAAATGCAGGTGATGATGAAGTAACTGCTGTCTGGATGAGCTCCGCAGGTTCTGCAGTGATTTGTTGTTCTGTCAGCGAATGACAGTCTCCGTCTGAGTGAGCGTGACACACATAAACACCAGTTCACTTCATTCTGCTGGACCGTGTCACATAAACACAGGCTGTCAGGGTCTTTATTGAACATCCTAAACGCTGACTTTCAGAAGAATAGGTCTGATCTTCTGTGAACCATTGGGGAAAACAAGACCTCGCGTATTTTTCCAATTCCGACCTGCCACTCCGGAGACAGTGGAGGAAGACAATTTGCCAATCAGAGCGGCGTGAAGCCCAATACAGAGACTTATTCATCTGAAACTGGGATTCTGACGCGGCTCTTCAGAAAACATTTGATGGAAGGGAGCAAAAGCGTTTGCCAACAGTTGGACAAACATCAGACGTGAGGGAATTTACATACGGTTCAAGAATCGGAAATTAAAAGTGAAGCGTTTCATTTCTGCACCGTTCCATGCATGGAGTAATTTCTGCATTGCAACACTGCAGCAAAGAAATCATGATCAAATTATCACTTAAAAAAAAAAAATTGGTGTAGAAGCTATTTTCACTCAGAAACTGCTAGTAAGTTTCACATACAATTACAAAGAAACACATTCAATTAAACATTAATTTTTGAAGTAGAAGAATTCTACTTCTACTTACATTTTATTTACAACTTTGAAAAATCATCTTTTTTATAGTGTATGTTATAATAATTAGAAAATGTATTATTATTATTACTTACAAGCAATTAAAAAAAACATTAAAATTATATTAATTTAACATTATATATTAAAATTAGTGTGTATAATTTTATATATAGCTTTTATTTATATTTTATTTTTTGTTAATAACAACAACAACAACAATATAGGAAATAAATGTATTATTATTATTAATTATTATTATTAACAGAAAAAAATACATAAACAAATAAAAAATTAATTATATATTAAAAACTGCATAATTTAAGTATTTATATATTTTTTATTTATATTATATTTATTTTCTTAATAATAATAATAATAAATTAATATTCATATCATTATCATAACTTAGTGTGATTTTGTCAATTTCTTTAATTTGACACAGTATTGCAACAATCATTCATTTCACTAGCAACGCCAAGGTCATGGGTTTGATTCCCAGTGAATGCATGAACTGATCACATGTCTATCTTGAATGCAATGAAAGAAGACGCTTTGGATAAAGAATCTGATAAATGCATAAATGTAAATTGAGATTCGTACCTCTGGACTTCATTCCAATGAAGCGGTTCTCCACAATATCGATTCTCCCCACACCATGCTTTCCACTGTGAAACCAGAGAGTGGGTTATTGATCAATAAATACATACCAATGTACATATTCTCCAGTGACACATACACTTACTGTACCAAATGACATTTGTATGTTAATGTGGCTGATTATGAAGGGATCGCCCCCTTAAGGAGCCACAGAGAACCACAAGCTCTGATCATCTGCTGAAGACGTCAGATCACTCCTGAAGACATGACAGTAAACACTGAGATGGAACTCCTTCATGCTCACCCGATCTCATTCAGATAGCAGAAGATCTCCAGCGGTGTCTCTTTACACGTTCCTTCCTTAACATGCCTGACTTTGACTGGAACACCTGAGAGAACCAACATACATCAGTGTGAGGAACATCATCCACATCAGAGAAGAGACGGAAAAGAGCTTCAACGCTCTGCTGCTCGGAAATGAGAGAGAGAACGACAGAACAACAGAATGACGGACAGATGGATGGATGGATAGATGGATGGACAGATGGAAAGATAGATGGATAGATAGATGAAGAGACAGATGGATGGATGAACGGATGGAAAGATAGATGGATAGATAGATGAAGAGACAGATGGATAGATGGATGGATGGATGGGTAGACGGATAAATGAGATGGATGGGTAGATGGATGGATGGATGGATGGATGGATAGATGAAGAGACAGATGGATGGATGGACGGATGGATGAACGGATGGAAAGATAGATGGATAGATAAGATGAAGAGACAGATGGATAGATGGATGGATGGATGGATGGGTAGACGGATAAATGAGATGGATGGGTAGATGGATGGATGGATGGATGGATAGATGAAGAGACAGATGGATGGATGGACGGATGGATAGATAGATGATAGATAGATGGAGAGACAGATGGATGGATGGATGGATGGGTAGATGGATGGATGGATGGATGGATAGATGAAGAGACAGATGGATGGATGGACGGATGGATAGATAGATGATAGATAGATGGAGAGACAGATGGATGGATGGATGGATGGGTAGATGGATGGATGGATGGATGGATAGATGAAGAGACAGATGGATGGATGGACGGATGGATAGATAGATGATAGATAGATGGAGAGACAGATGGATGGATGGATGGATGGGTAGATGGATGGATGGATGGATGGATAGATGAAGAGACAGATGGATGGATGGACGGATGGATAGATAGATGATAGATAGATGGAGAGACAGATGGATGGATGGATGGATGGGTAGATGGATGGATGGGTAGATGGATGGACAGATGGATGGATGGATGGATGGATGGACGGATGGAAAGGTAGATGCATGGATGGATGCATGGATGGATGGATGGAGAGACAGATGGATAGATGGACGGATGGAAAGATGGATGGATGGATGGATGGATGGACGGATGGAAAGATGGATGGATGGATGGATGGAAAGATAGATGGATGCATGGATAGATGGAGAGACAGATGGATGGACGGATGGAAAGATGGATGGATGGATGGAAAGATAGATGGATGCATGGATAGATAGAGAGACAGATGAATGGATGGATGGAAAGATGGATGGATGGATGGACCGATGGAAAGATAGATGGATGCATGGATAGATAGAGAGACAGATGAATGGATGGATGGAAAGATGGATGGATGGATGGACCGATGGAAAGATAGATGGATGCATGGATAGATAGAGAGACAGATGGATGGACGGATGGAAAGATGGATGGATGCATGGATAAATGGAGAGACAGATGGATGGACGGATGGAAAGATGGATGGATGCATGGATAGATGGAGAGACAGATGGATGGACGGATGGATGAATGGATGGATGGACAAACGGACAGATAGATAGACAGACAGACAGACAGATAGATAGATAGATACAGACAGTATGTTTTAATCTTCATTTTCATCACTACATCTGTTGTTTTGTCAGTTTGAATAAATTGAAAATGTATTTATCTTTCCTTAAATGAATCAGTGACATCTATTTCATGTTTAAGTGTGGCTGAAGAGTCTAGATATGTGTTTCTGTGGCTGCTGTAGAAGTGCAATGATCAGATCAGTCTGCTTGTACTCCAGCCGTAACGTCAGCGCAAACACACTCAACTCCCATAAATAAATCATGCTGAATAGTCGACTCATTCATAGCGTGAAATGAGCAGCTCAGAGGCCAGAGGTGGAGGATACCAACGGATCGGGGGGAGGAGGCGGAGCTGAAGGAAAAGAGGGCGGAGAAGACTTTTGAAGGAGAAAGAAAAGATCCCTACACGGGTCTGATTAGCATTTAACACGCTCATGAAGGAGAGCCTGCAGTTCTGCTCATCCGTTCACAGCTTTAAACGCCAAAAACCAGTTCAGCATTATTTACTGTCATTTCAAACTCTGATGTTGTTCATTTTTCCATAGGGGACAACTGAAAAAAAAAATCTTCGTGCAGTTTTTAACATGAAATTTGACATTCAAATTTAGAATTTTGAGATCTGAACTTGACATTTGAATTTTGAACCAACAACAGTTTATAGTGACCACGTCTCCAAAAAGAGAAAAACAGCATGAAAGTATCTTAATATTAGTCCATAGACTCTATATTTCAAGACTTCTAAAGTCATATGTGTGCAATAGACTCAAATTTAAATTGGTATTCAATAATAATTTATCAGATATGATGTGCCACAATCGTCAGGTTTGGTGTAATTTGACCGCAAGATATGAAGCATGTTAGACGTTAATGGTTCTCACATTTCTCAACATTTATGTCTCATACATTTTTTGTACTTTTTGAAGCTTGACAGTCAAAATCATTTAATCATTATTTATTTACTCTCACGACATTTCATTTCATTTCTCTGATGTAGTTATTTTTCCATGGATCACAACTAAGAAAAAAAAGTTTAACATGAATTTGAAATTTGAATTGAAATTTTGAAAATTTGAATTTTGAATCAACATAAACAGCATAGAAGTATCCTAATATTAGCCAAGTCTTCTTAAGTCATATGACCGTTTATGTGGCCATTTTTAAAGTGTTATTCAATAATATTTTCTTTTTTATATCAAATATGGCGTGGATGGATGGACAACGTGTTGTCCAGTGTTATTTTAGTATCGGATTTATTTTCTTAATAGTTTGAATTAGTTTTGATTTTTATATTTCGTGTTTTTATTTAAATTTTCGTTAAAGTTATAGTAGCTTTGCTGTGTGTTTTTTAATTTTAATTTTTTTATTAATATTTTATTACTTAACATTTTTTTTTTAATATGTTTTATTACTTTTTATTTCAGTTTAAGGTTTAGTTATTTATTTTAGTGCATAAGTCAAAATAAATGAAAATGAGAAATGTTTGGGAACTAGCTGAATTAATTTTTTTAAATACATTTTATTTTATTTCAAAATTATATTTTTGTTTTTAATTTTTGTTTGAGTTAACTATAATAACCCTGGTGTTGTGTCATGTTTGACTGCCAGATATGGCACAGGTTGGACATTTATGACCTCAAATGTCAACTTTCATGACTCATACAGTCTCTTTTATGACATTTCTTATACTTTTTGAAGCTTATAAGTCACTTTGAACTGTTGTTGCATGGAAAAGAGTAAATAAAGTCACTTTTGGCCAAACTATTCCCTTGAGAAATATTCTCAGGCGAGAAGTTTTCATATCCAGAGTCCTCGGACCACAGGGCACCCAAAAGAGCAGCACGCAGACAAAGCCCTCGAGCCCTTCAGATAGTTAATAATTAGATTAAAAGTTCAAATAAATGAAACAGCGCATGAAGACGGAGTCTCTCGGCCACTTCTCTCTCTCTCGCTCCGTGTGCACCGCATTCACCGCACTCTTTCTCTCAGCCTTAGAAAAGCAACAATAGGACAGAAGACACAGTTGTAGGAAAAATTACCGCTTTACATTTTTCCACTCTTTCCCCGTCTTTCGCGCCGTTCCCCTTTTGAGGTGCAGCAGAAGACGTGGCAAAGAAACGGGGGTTAAAATGACAAGAGGGAAAAGGTTTGGTCTCTCTCAATGAGAGAGAGTGCTGAGAAAGCGAGGAGAAGAAAAGACGGAGCAGAATAGAAAGATAAACCAGGTCTTTACAGGGGGGCTTCTATTGTGAGAATCACTAAAACAGCTTTTCTCATGGACATTAAATGGACGTGCTCAAATATCTATGAATACTGATGGCCGATCAAAACGGATCATAGAGCACAATGACACCGCTGTCTGATAAAATCACATTACTAGTTCACTCGGGGTCCCACACAACCATTGAAATTCTAATTCTGCAAATACGGGAACGAGAGTTCGACTCCCTCATGCACTTTGTTTAAGTGTCTGGAAACAGTTTCTTTGAGAAACCAGCAGAGACTGACCGAAACATTTCACTGCACAAACACATGCTGCTTCATTATATACTATACAGCACATCTCCACTGCATGACTGTTTGTATCATTGAGAAAACTGTATTATTGCACAGCTCAACATGTAAAGAACAGATATATGTAAACAACTGCAAATGTGTGTGTGTGTATGTGTCTATATATACACACACAGTCAAACCAACAATTATTCAGACACCAGATATAATTTTTTATATTTTTTTTACTAGTGGGTGCATGAGTGTGTGTGTGTGTTTAGAGTGTGTGTGTGTGTGTCTGTGCGTGCGTGTGTGTGTGTGTGTGTGTGT